CTGGACATGTCCAAACCACTGTCCCTCCTCTGGACATGTCCAAACCATCTCAGTGTGTCCTCTCTAACTTTATCTCCCAGTTGTCCAACCTGTGCTGGGTGTCTGATGATCTCATCCCTGATCTTCTCCATCCTCGTCCCTCTGAGCAGAACCTCCACACTTCATAATCCTAATATATAATCTTTCTAATCTTGTTTAAAACTTCAAGCTTCACATCGACTCCTCTGTGCCTGCAGAGTGGCAGGGAAACCAGATTTAAAGTCGGAGCCACTGAAAGAATCTGCTGCATGTTCTTAATGTCTTGGCGTCCTCCGTGTCTCTGGTCATTTGTCCTCTGTCGCAGGACGTCAGGTAGAAAACTCAGCGATCAGAAACTTCAGCTGCAGGACGAGGGAACACGTCGGGCCGTTCTGTCTGGGATGGACAACGTTTTGCTTTTGGTTCAAATGTCGGATGCAGTTTATGGGCTGGAATACAGCAAGGGGGTGGAGGTGGGGGTGGAGGCGGGGGTGTTTCTGGTGAACCCACCCCTCCACACATATTTTTCCTTGAATAGCAAGGTCCCCTACGGTTGTGCCCCCTGTGACCTGGTCGTGAGAGCGTCGGGGGACGGGACGTGCTCCTTAACCTCTGAGCCCGGTTCCTGAGAGCAGCGACGTTTCGCACGTCTGATTGTTTTCTCACATTTAGACTCGTCTTAAAATAAGATCCAGCCCTCCTCCTTTATTTTTAAATCTTTATCAGCCCAGCTTTGACTTTCAGGGTTTAAATGTTGCTAAACCTGTTGGACAAAATGAGCCGAGTTATTCTCAAATTACTGCTGTCATCTTCTAATCTGAAGCTGTGCAGTTTTATTCCAAGTAAACATTTTATTTAATATTTAAGTGGATCCGTAACATTAGTAAATAGTTAAGTAGCAGTTTTAAATGCAAGCACAATGTTTCATGTGAAATCAGTTAAGACCAACATTATTTAAAGTGTTAGAAGCCGTACCACTCTCATCTGTCCTTTTATCTGGATATTTAAGAGATAAAATATTTACTTTCTGCATAAATAAAATGAACTTCCAGTGGCTGCTGCTAATGTAAAGATGTAGATCTTTTTTATTCAGGGTCATAAATTAAAAAGTTAGTAACGCTAAAATGATTTAATTGGTTCAAACTCTCTAAAAGTGAATATTACTCAGAATTCAGGATTTTTTTTGTTTATTGAGTACACATTTTTTAACTACTTAGAAGATAACCTGATGAATAAAAAATAGTTTTTACTTTTCGTGTATCAAATGTTTAAGAAAAAAATTATGATTTATAAAATTTAAAACCAAAGTTTTACTTAATATCACTTTTATAATTAAATCGAAGTTTTTTCTTTTCTTCTCAGTATTAAAAATATTTTTGTCAATCTAAATTACAGCTAAAACAAATTATTCACAACAAATCAAACCAGATTGCATTTTAGTGACAAATACAGAAAATACAAGAAAAATGAATCATAAAGTTTCTAAAATTAATAATAAAAATAATAATTCTGAAAATTTCCACCTGAAAAAGTTTACATTTTTAAAATACAGAGAAATTAACCAGCTCTGAAGATCTGATCAACAAACTTCACTTTAGCAGATCAGTGTTCTTATTAATATATTTTTATACTCATTAACAACATTTTAAGTTTAATAATGACTACAAAGTCAAAAAATTTTTTTTGAAAGTCTGAAAAATGTTGGATTTATTAATGACCGTTTTATAAATTCACTTCCTGGTTTGAGCAGATTTGCAGCTTCTTTGTCACTTTTCTCTGAACGGAGAGGATTTTGTGTTTTACTGAAACTCTTTGCTTCTTCAGCAAAGCTTTAAGCAGCTTCAGTGTTCGCTGACTGGTCTCTGCTGGTGTGTTTTGTTGGGTTACTGGTCTCTGTTGGTGTGTTTTGTTGGGTAACTGGTCTCTGCTGGTGTGTTTTGTTGGGTAACTGGTCTCTGCTGGTGTGTTTTGTTGGGTAACTGGTCTCTGTTGGTGTGTTTTTAGGCCTTTGTCTCCCTCTCTCTGCTGTTCTGGGCTCTGCAGACCTTCTCACGGCTCCTCACCATCAAGAAGAAAGACAACTGAGACGACACAGCGAGACGGCGGGGGAGTGGAAACTGGAGACGTTTTGATTTGAATCGTTGTGAAATAATCCGTTTTTAATCACACGAGACATTTCCTGGTGCCTTGGCTTCGTGTGCTTTATATTAGTATATTAGCTTCTAGAGAACAGAACATGTTCAGCTTCTGCTTTAACATTTAAACCGCTTTAAGAGTTGGATGTTTGTGTAAATGAGCTGTTAACCCAAACCACGTAAGGTTACAGGTTTTAGCACATGAGGAATGTATTCGGATCATTTTCATTTGTGGAAGTGTTCTTTTTAAACCCTGACTTGGATTAATGCTGCTGCATTATAAACGCACTGATCAGCCACAACACTAACAACCTCATGCCTCCTCTAACGAGCACGGCTCATCCTCACCTGTTGAATTACCTTCTGAATGTTGCACAGCGTGAACAGTCCGTTTCCCTTTTGTCACACCAATAAAATAGTTTGAACATTTTCTTCGCCCGTGCCTCTTTTTGTGCTTTCAAATGACAAATGTAGCAGTTCGATCTGACAAAGACTGATGCATGATGAATGTGATGGGTCGGACGTTCTGTGGGCTTTGATTAGGTTTGGAATCAGCCGCTGAGTTTGTTCCTGTCGGCCTGCAGGCCTCGTGTGGGAGTGACAAATGGTCCGCAGCAGATGGTGCTGTTATCACCTGGCATCCGTCTCCTCCACGTCCACAGCTTGTTTTCTAGAGACGCCAGGGTTCAGCTTTGGTTATAAAATGCATTTATTTAGACGAGGCTGAGAGAAAACAGAATGATTTAAGTCAAAGGTAATATCTTGTGTTTACAAATTTATCTACTTTGTTAAAATGCACTAACTCTACCTAAAACAGCAAAACCGTGTTGATTAAAATGAAACAACTTGTTAAACATGAATTAGTAGCAGTGTGGTGGAGGGAATGCATATTTTGCTAACAGATGGTTTTACACAGCAAAATGACTATATTAAATGACATCTGTAATTGAGCAGATGTTGAGAACATCTGTGAGAATCAATCTGCAGAGGGAGTCATTTACAGATTGCTGTATTACCGTGCGAGGTTTATGGATGTTTAGACAGTCAAGTCGTGGTGGTGATGTGACCATCAGGTCAACATCGAGTCAGGAAGTAAAGACTGACGCCCGGTTTGAGACAAATTAATGAAGCAAATGAGAGCGGTGTCCCTGATGCAGTGATTAGGGAAGAGCACAAAGCTGGTGATAAGTTGTGTTTGTTAAAAGCTTTGGGACATTTGTGATTTTATTCTTGGCTGAAACGTACTAGAACAATGACCTGATGCATGCTCATGCATGTACTAGATGACCATCTGATACATGCTCATGCATGTACTAGATGACTTGATGCATGCTCATGCATGTA